ATTCTAATCATACTTAAAAATAAGATATTTTAATTTTTTAATAAATATTTATTAAAGTAATATAATTTCAAATTATTTTTTAAAATTTTTTTAAAAAATAAAGTAAATAAATACTTTTCTTAAATAAATTTTTACTTTTACTTTATTTTAAGACATTAATTCAACTTTTTCAACAATTGTCTATCTAATAACCATACCACACATTAGCCACACTTTCTGGTTGCTGTCCCATTGGTCTTCCCCCCAAAACCAAATCTGCAGAATATCCAGGAGGAAGAAAGCAGAGGTAAAAGCGAAAAGAAACAGGGAAGCCTGAGAGTAGAAGAAACCTCTAGGGAATTTTAGCCGCTGTGCTCTTTTTGTTTTGTCTACTGAATCCTTCTTCTGTTTTGGTGGTGACCGAGGATGGTGATAGAGGCTATGATGATGATTAAATTGCGAAGAAGTGTGGCTTTACGTGAAGCCCACACATGACGGAGGGCTGGGATGCTGCCAGACTGCAAAGAAATCCTGAAAAACAGCATCTCCGATCCGTTACTAAAAATAAAAAATAAAATACTTAAAAAAAATATATAAATGAAATAATAAATTGATTATGATAATTAATGAAATTAATTAATTTTAATTAAAGTAAATTAATTATGTTTTATTGGTCTTAATTTGAAGTAATTAGATTTATTTAAATGTTTTAATTAGAGGTTAATGAATATGATTAATTAATATTAATTAATTGTAATTAATGTTGAATTAATTATTCAATTTAGTAAAAATAAAAAGTAAAAAATTATCTCTTTTTTATTTCAATTTCACCCAAAATTTTCATGGTCAAGTAATTTAGTTCAAAAGTTTTAAATCTTTTCAAATCAGTCCTTCATATTTTCAATTTAATCGAATCAGTCTCTTCACTTTTAAATGTTATTTTCAATTGTGCATGCATGTTTCTTATTTTTGTTTAAATTGAGTTAAAGGGTTTTCAAGTTTTGCAATTTCATCCATTTTTACTTTTTAAAGTCTACTTAATCAAACCCAAAAAACAAAAAGGATTGAATAAATTCTCAAATGTTAAAGTATGCAACTGTGTTTTACATGGAGGATTGTGAGGTGCGTGTATGTCAATTTTCACTCATAACTAAACCCTTGAATCCTGATCTTTGCACAAATCTATTTTTTAAATGATTTATCCCACCTCACAATTTCGATAAGTGACGACTCCTTTTTTATTTTTCACACTTAATTTTTCATTAGTTTCCTTTTAAATTTAGAAATCTTAAGTGGTTGTCAATACAAATCAAAAGGCCTAAATCTGATTTTGAATGGGTAATTATAGAGTTTAAGAAACCCTATTAAAAAGAAGCAGTACTTGAGATAAAATAGAAAAGTTCAATTTTTGACACTTAATGCATGGTGGTGATATCCTGAATTATGTGTCGACACCACACCCCGGTTGCTAACCTCAACTGTAATTTCTTCAATGGTAAAATGGCAGATCTGATCCTTTAAATTTTACAAAATGAGCACTTTGATCCCAAAACTTAAGATTCATTCATTTAGGTCCCAAAGTGGCACCCTTCTTCTTGCAATTCAATCCCTCAACTTTCAAAAAATATTCAATTAATCTCAAAAACTCTTATTATTATGCGTTTATGTCTTTTTCTGCAAAAATAATGACAATTATTTAAAATCTATTGAAAATCACATATTATCCTTATAATTTGTATTAAAATTAAGGCTAATATAATAAATTAAAACATATAAAAATGCTTCTCAGTTCACTCCCATCACAAGAACTTCTTTTGTTGATTTTTTTCGTTTTTAGCAAAGGACTCTTGGAGAAGAAATGGGGGCCTGATCTCTCAAGAGAGTTGAGTAGCAACTATCGTAGATTTTCCTTTTCTTTTCTTTTTTTTTTTATATATACTTTTTTTTTCTTTTATTTTTAGAAGGGGACCTAGGGTTTTTTTTGGGGGGGGGTGTGGGGAGACATGAATTCTACCACCCATCATGCCCATTATTTTTTTATTAAGAATAATTTCCCCAATTAAATTGTTATATCAAATCCTTGATTTAATTAAAATTAAAAATCATACATCCCCATAATTGGCAATTAATCCCAGCCATTAATTAAGTGTTGCACATTCAATTATATTGATCCCCAAAAATTAGGAAAAATATGCAGATTATTACAACATGAGTAATAAAATTATTTTGAAAGTATATTAATCTAAATTCCATATTACATAATTATGGTGAAATCATATGCCTTAAAATTTCAACTCTTAGTGTCACTTGGAATTAGTTTAGTTTTTTTTTTATTAGTCTTGCTAATTTGTTTATTCAAATAATTTAATTTCAACGTTAAGATAAACTTAGAATTAGTTAATTTTAGTACTTAATTAGTTTACTGTCTTTGTAGAGTGAAATTGGCTCATCAACTCATCAGCTCTGTCATTATCTCTAAGTATAGATATAAGTTATTCACCATGATTTATATGGCACCGCACTTCTTGTCAAGCAAGCTCTTTCTGAAAGATTAATAACCATCAATTGTAGTCTCTTCTAGTGAGGAATAAGATTCACTATTAGACAATATTGTAATAAATATATCTAATTAAGCATTCAAATTCAACTTCAGAAGTTCTTGAAAAGAGTTAAATAACCATACATTTTACTTGATGAAAAGCTAACTAAATCATATCTTAACGGCCTACCTCTATACTAGAATAAGAAATAAAAGGTTCTCTAGAGTTAACTAATGGTGTAGGGACACGATACATAGGCACAGGCATTTTTAAAGGAAGATTTGGCATTGTTGCCTCAAAGTTTAGAACCTGAACTGCTAGCTTGATTGATGGCCTTAAGCTTCGATCAGGGTGAGAGCACCACATTCCAACAATCATCAAACATTCTGCTTGTTTCTCATCAAAATCCCTCTTGACTCTCTCATCAACACTGGAAAGAAGCCTTCCTTTCCCATACAGATCCCAAACCCACTCCACCAACCCCAAATCAGACTCTTCCCCCATTCGATCCGTAGACTTTCTTCCAGTAGCAATCTCTAATATCACCACCCCAAAACTAAACACATCTGACTCCTTACTTGCCTTCCTTGTACTTATGTACTCTGGAGCTAAGTAGCCAAAAGTACCTGCCAACCCTGTTGTAATTTGGCCTAACTCATGGTCCATCAACTTAGCCAACCCAAAGTCACCAAGCTTAACATTAAAACTAGAATCCAACATTATATTACTTGACTTAATATCCCTATGCACCACACACTGCTCCTGTTCTTCGTGAAGATACAGAATTGCCAAGGCCAATCCAAGTGTTATTCTATACCTTATATGCCAAGGAAGAGGACTCCTTTTGCTAAAGAGATGAGAATCAAGACTACCATTCGACATGAACTCATAAACAAGCAAAAACTCACTCTTTTCATGACACCAGCCAATAAGTTGCACCAAATTTCGATGCCTTAATTGACTAATGATCTTCACCTCTGTTACATACTCCTTTTTTCCTTGTTTTGATCCTTTAGAAATTTTCTTTACAGCAATCAACATGTCTATATCAGCTAGATAGCCTTTATAAACTGCACCGAAACCTCCTTCACCCATTTTCCTATCTTGAGAGAAATTGTTAGTAGCAGAGGCAATATCTTGGTATGAAAACCTTCGTGGTCCAGTGCCCATCTCAAAGTCATCGTTGATAGATGTTAAATTTGTCGTCTTTGCCCTTTTATTTACCTGTTTCCTTTGCCTCATAATCATATATGCTAAAAGGGTTCCAATGAGAAGAATGATCACTAGTATGATAATAGCAACAGCTATTTTGATCTTTCTTGATGAATTCTCATTGGTTTCCTTAGCATCCAAGCTTGAATTGAATTTCCAAGATTTGAGTGTATATCGTGCTCTTTCACCTCCTGAAGTAGCTGAAAAGCCTATAGTCACCCATTTGTTTAAAACATCCCTCAAATCAACTGAGTAACAAAGGGTTGAAATTTCCTGAGGATTTTTGGTTTTCTGATAGCTCCATGAGACGCTCAAATTCTTGGTTGTAGAATTATATGTAATCAATACATCAGCAGTATCCCTAAGGTGGAAACTGGCATTCCAGGGAATGTAAACGGCAGAGCGTATGGAATTGATATTGATACCCACATGACTTTTAACCTCCTCAGGATCCCATTCAAGGTTCTGCCAAGTGTCAAATTCCACTGAGATGATCCTATTTGAGGAGGAATGTCGTGTTGTGTCGTTGAATAGGCCAAGGAAGGCACTAATAGAGTTGGGTGGGATTTGAAATCCAGCAGGAGCAAGGAAGAACGCTATTCCATCGCTTATAATATTTGAACTGGGCACATCAATGCTGAAGGAGAAACTACAAGTAAAGTCTGAAAGCTTTCTTGAGTTGGAGTCCCACATTAGGACTTTATTTGCATATGTGACCCAACCAACACGAAATTGTCTATCATAGGTGGTTAACTCCACAACTCCGGAGGAAGACATTGCATCTCCCTGGTACTGAATGTAATTGGGACTAGGGGTGAAGTTAGGTATCTGAAAGCTTATTGAATCTGAAGATGGAAGAAGAAGAAGAAGAAGAAGAAGAAGAAGAAGAAGAAGAATAAAGGAAGCACATTTTGAACTTTCCATGGTGCAATAAATGGTAGGAAGTCTATGGAAATTATTGCATATATACTAATTTATATAACACTAGATGGCGAAGTCATCCATACTTGATTGAATATTGTGACCATTGTATATAATCCAACATTGACCAACAAATTGATCACAAAATCAATGGCATAATCTTGCATAATTAACCAACCCTATTGCGTGCGTGATTTACAATCCAGAATGCTTGGCACTAATTAATTAAATTGACTTAAGACCAAAAAGACTTCCAAGTCTTGGAAAAATAAGTCGAATCATCAAGATTTCAGAAGGCAAAGAGAGGATAGTCATTTACTCGGGATCTTTTTCTTTAGAGTAACTTAGGGAATAATCCTTTTACTTAACTAATAGTCATCCGTGGTTCTATATCTTAAAATTTTTAAATTAAGTAGTAGATATAGATTATATTTGATTCTCACACTTTGATCTAGTGGTTAGTTTAATTAAGTGAGAATCACCTCTTGTTAGTTGCATTTTTAAACTTCACTAATCTCATTCCCCCTTCACCCAATTTGCCCTGTTGACAAATATAGATTATATTTAATTTATATCTAAAAATATTCACGGTGAATAGAAATAAGTAGTATTAATTTACCACTACTCATAATTTCTTCTTATTTTAATTGGAATTTTTATAATTCAACTAGCATAAATGTCCAGAAGAAAAAAAAAAAAAAACAATGGTTATTCTTAAGTTCTAAGGGTGTGTTTAGTATATGGAAGTTTGTGGTTAGTAGTTTGAAATTTAAACTAATCAAAAGAATAAATATATTTACATTATAAAAATAAGAAATTATAGAAAATTAAGATATTTTAACAATTTAAGTATTAGAAATGATA